GGGCCATGGCGATGACAAGGGCTCGTGGGAGACACAAATTATCGGTGTTTTTAACGGTGATAATGCCTTTTCTTTTGGCGCATTCCTCATCAAAGGTATTGAAATTCTGAGCTCTACCACGACCAGCAGGCAACCTTACGGACGTAATACCCAAGCAAAAAGTCTCGGTATTCAACCCCACAGAATTTGACTGATAGATGGAAGATATCTTCTCCCATATGTCCTCAGTTGAAACGTCGGAAAACATTTAAAAGCTATCCATCCTTGACCGCGGGTAAAGTCTTTGGAACAGAAAGTGAATCCAACTTGATCACTGGGCTGGAGATGTTCAGTTCCTTTGGCTACTATTTCCTCCAGAGCGTCTTTGATCCATCCCACAGGTTCGACGTCTTTAGGGATAGGTCGTATTTTAAATTCCACTTCTCGCCCATATAGATTAAATTTTTTAATCTTCTTAGTAGAATCCTTAACGATGAAGAATTTTTCCATTTTTTAAAAACTAAAACGTTAACTAGCGACTAAATCTGAACTGAGCACGTCTGTTCGCTGGATAACTGACAAGATAATTTGCGGTGATTCATAGGTATTTATAATCTCGATTTACCCCCACCACTTTTTAACTGACCACAGTGTTTCAAGGTCACCGCTGGCAGTATTAACTCGTTGACAGCCTGCGCTCCTGCCCATTCACCCATGCTTAACAGCCCCGCCCGGTACTTCTTGCATATCACCGCTACGACACACCGCCTGAACCTAACCTCATTTGCGACGTAGGTGATTGCCTTGTTGAATTTTAGATACACAATATAGACTGTACTATGTTTTCAATATTGTATCAATGTTAAAAATTAACTAACATTAACTGTATGCACCACATATGAGCAATTCCATTTTTATATGCACACTGAATATGACGTGTTGATATTGAGATCATCCTATACGCATTGTTCTCCGCGAATTTTATACGTTTTTCCATTTAAACTGAATCCGCAGAATTGCATCTATAATTCATTATTCATGGCTTTTATCGATCTATATGCAAATATTTACCGCAAAACATGAAATGAGTCACATCACTTACGCATAGACGTTATACTACACCTTACTATCGTCGGCTGTCTGAATCACTTCCGGTCGGGTGCGCATCTAGCCCGCCAATCAACATATACCATCAACCCGTTCAAATTCCCGCCGTCTGATCCGCCAATCAGAGCACGCGGTGGATCTAGCGGTTCCCGCCAATCAAATATACCATCAACCCCGTTCAAATTTCCCGCCGTCTGATCCGCCAATCAGAGCACGCGGTGGGCGTGGCCAAAGTGGAAGTGGTGGGGGGTGTCCATAGTAGCCCATATTCTACTGTGCCACCTATGCAAAATGTAACGTTAATCGGGGCATAATGAGATTTAGCTTCCGCTATTACTGAACATTAGAAACTTTGGTGGTTTCCTTACCGGTCATGTTCATACGCGCAGTCCTGCTCCATAGTTATCACGAGCCAGGTGGAATTTGCTATCACAAGCAAAATGTAACGCTAGCCTACATAGATGTACCTAATTTCTATATGTTGTAAATGGAAAATAGTACTTCAGCTGTTTCGTAACCTGTCATGTGCATATCATTGAAGTGTTCGATGGCTATTCCAAACCATATGGAATTTGCTATCAGAAACAAAATGTAACGCTAGTCGCACATAGATTAAACATAATCTCTATCCGTTATTAACGAAAAATGGTACTTTAGTGGTTTCCTAAACTGTCATGTGCATTCTGACAAAGATGTTCCAAGGTTATCACAAACCAGATGAAATTTACTATCACAGGGAAAATGTAACGCTAACCTTGCATAAGGTGCCTATTCTTTATCTGGTGATAATAAAAAGATATACATTGGCGGTTTTCTAACCTGACATGTTCATAATTACACACCTGTTCCATGGTTATCACAAACCACGTGGAATTTGCTATCACAAGCAAAATGTAACGCTAGTCTCGTATAGATGTACCTAATCTCTGTCGTTCAGTAATGAAAAATGGTACTTCGGCTTCTTCCTAACTTCTCATGTGCATCCTTACAATATTGTTCCATAGTTATTACAAACCAGATGGAATTTGTTATCCTAAGCAAAATGTACCGCTAGTCTCACATAGATGTACCCAATTTTTATCTTTTATAAATGAAAAATGCTATATTGCTACATTACTATCACAAGCCAGATGGAATTTGCTAGCCCAAGCAAAATGTACCGCTAGTACTACTACTGCTGTAAACGTAAAAATGCGCGCCGATCGCGGTGTTACCAGTTTGACACAAGGACAAGGAATGATGGTTTATATGCGGCCAGAGGACAGGAAGATAGGGGGAAGGGGTGCGGTGCGGCTTTCCTTCGCTGCGTGCGCGCTTTGACCAGGACGGAACATAACAATAGTCGGTGACAGGTACTTACGTCAAGTCAAGCATTTGTTTACAACGCCTACTGAAAAAAATAAAGAAATCAGGAAAAACACATTGTTCCTAATAATCAAGAAATGAATGTAACATATGATACATCATTGAATTCATAAAAAATGCTATTAGATACAGGGTGTACTGTTTTTCCGGACCACATGAAAAATACAGTTAATGATGGTTTCTCAAAAACGAACCGCCAGGCACAAAATTTAAAAACACCATTATGAACCTAAAAGGCGACAAAGGAAAAGTTCCTTTAGTTTTTTGATATTTCTCAAAATCAAGTTAGAAAACGATAAAACTTTTAATTTTTCCTAAACATCTCAGTAAGCCATGAAATTTCTTACAAGATTCTCCAAGGTATGTAAATACTCCCCAAAGAACGCAACTTTTCCCTAATTTTACCTAAGCTGTACCACCCACATGTCTTGAGATCCCCATGCATAGGATCCTTATCTTGGACACCCAGTATAACTTGACGATATAAGGGAATGGTTTAATTTCTCCATGAAATTAGTTTTTAGTTTTGTACATACTCTTTAATTTATTTTTGCCATATTTCAAGTCAGGCTTAAATCGATTATCCCAAAGCAACATATCTGGATTAGATACATTTCATTATAATTAGCTGTATGGCGGCTACTAGTAGGTATACGAGATATTTTTTTATTATATCATAAATCAGACTTTACGATGACACTTGGACTATGCATATGACAAGCAGCTAGGACATTTCAAGGAAAATTTTTAGTTGTGCAATGGAATTAAATATAATTTGAATAAAAGTAAAAAAAAAATAAAAAATAGACGAGTGCAATGAAGACACACGAGTACAGATGTTTTCTCACTATAGTATTAGGATCGTATATAACACGACACGTAGCGGCGGCTCGACTGCATTTTGTACTAGTATGATATTCGTATGGCAAACGTTCCGTTTCAGTAACTATAAACGTAAATATCAAAATTTTCAAATTCTAAAATTCAAAACTCACATTTCCCTAAAAAAGCTCCCGTCGACCAATCAGAAGCGTTTGAATGTTGTGAGCCAAAAATCAATAATTCCCATGGTAGAGTGTAGCGAAAGTAACATCCTCCAAACGATTCTCCAATGCTGGAAAGCAAAACTCACATTGTCCAAAATTTTGTCTTTAGTTGGGCCTACTTGATCCGTTATTTTGCTGCTTTAGTATATTAAAGATAATTTTTACGCTCCACGTCGTTCGGCGAACTGCAGTTGTGTGCGGAAAAGTATCATTTTCTAGGAACATAACTATCCTAATTTTGGGTTTTATTTTCTCAGGGTATAGGGTAAGATTCAAAGTTGGCAGACGTCGTAATGTGCACGATAGACAAGCGATATATGTATGTTAGAGTTAGAAAGAGTACTCGGTTTGCTAGGCAACGGGTACTTCTATCTCTTTCTAACACACGTATTGCACGCTTCTCTTCTCGTTCTCGAGGCGAAATACAGGTAATTGTAGCAGAATACTTTGCAATTTCTGAGTTTAGGACCTTTTCTCGAGTGTCCCGTATTTGTCACTTACCTTTCTCCACTTTCGGTGTGAGTGTGGCCAATTGCGTGGTCGGCGCCTGCGCGTCAGCCGGTGTCGACAGCTTCTCGGCCAAGATCGGATTGGCAGCAGCAATCGTGAACTTTCGGTGATGCTCGTGCGAAGACGCCACCTTCTGGCACACAGCCGAACTGGTGACACAGTTTTCAGTATCCTGAGAGGGGTGATGGCAGCCTGGTGGTACTGGAGTGTCTGAAGGGGTGGGGATAGTGTTGTTGTTCTCTTCTTGCTGAGGGATCATAGAAGACATTTCAATTAAAAAAAGCACCCTTGATATACTTGATACTTAAACCTATCAACTGCCTGGCTGTACCTAGGCAAGTGTTAATCTCATATTTTACAGGTGCCTCAAACCCTTATCGCTACGCCATTGCTCATGAGCCGTTACAGTGTAAGTCTAAACTACTTTTTACGCTTGTAAGGACGTTCTGGTACTTCTAGAACCGTTCTGGATTTCTCAGTCTTCTGTTCGAGTTGTCTTTGAATCGTCCGAGGATCATGCTAAATTAGTACCTGCTCGGAAGTTAGAACTGATTTGGGTTTCTTGTGACGCATGCAAAGGCGTGTGAGACTTGAAGGCAAAATACCAAGCCGCACATGCGTAGATCAAAGAATGACGGCTAATCATAGTATAAAGCGAAATTTTATTTACGAGGTTTTTGAATTTGGGTTCAGAAACGGAAAGAAGTGGCGGAAAGTTATAAATGCACTCTTGGTTAAGCTATGAACATGAGTTTTCCAAATCATAGTTTTATCCAATGTGAGACCCAAATATGTTCCCATGGGAGAGGTATGCCATTAACAGAGATCTGCTTTAGAGCAGAATACATTTTCTGCGTAACGTAGATAGTCTGTATCTTGGAGACACCACTTTCGATGCGCCACCGAGCACCGAGGGGCACACTCATATACTTTATTCACTGCACATTGCAGTCCCTTACTCGCTCGATTAGGCGAGTGTGGAGAGACTACTAAGAGGGACTTTGCAGGTACTATAGGATAAAAAGAATAAGGAATAGGCCCCAGGACTGAGCTCTGGGGGATGCGTAGAATACGTGTCCTTAATTTTGGTCCTGAACTTTATTCCTTTTAGGAAAGATTCAAAAAACCCTACATGCTGCACATTGTCGAAAGCATTTGCAATATCCAGAAACTAGTTTTTATTATTTTGATTTTGAGTGAATCCATATGTTATCGTGTCTACAGGTCTCGTCTATTGTGCCGTAGTGTGCCTGTCGCGAAATCCAAATTACTCGTCGTGAATTGCTTGGAAATAAAAACAGAACTTTCTAGATTAGCATGAGCCCGTTTGGAGGGAGAAAAGTTGTAGTCATGTGGAAAAATCGATCCTGCATTTTTTAAGATCATCACGACTTCCGCAATTTTTCAGTCTCTTGGTAAATATTGGAGCCTGAGCATCGTTTAATTATAGCTCGTTCATAGGAAATACGTGTTTCAACTCTTATACTTATGTCTATGATTATGTCTATTAAAAGGTTGTATAAGCCATTAATCATCACATGGGTTTTATTTCTCAATTACATTGCATTTATGCTTATAAGTAGTACCTATATGCAACACATTTCACTTACCATATCAGTAATCAGTAATTGAGTACGAGGTTCGAGTAAACCCCCGCGGGGACAACGATTTTATTGTGTATCGAATTTTGTAATCGGTTACTCCAGATCTAATAGAGTACCGACTACTCAGTAAAGGATAAGTACAATATTATCATCGCAAAACTGAACCGATACCAGATACATATTCACATACTAATTTGGATAATGAAAAATCAGGTCAAAGTTTTCAAATCCTATCATAAACTGATCTAACGTCGATATCAACTCAGCATACCATAAGACCTTAGCTTGTATATCTAAATGAAAGGGGCTTTACCGGATGAACGTAAGCCCAATCTGATCGGATTAATTAGTAATAGTTTATAAAATGTGGTGGAGAGAACATCAGCCACAAAGTAACCGACCTTTTCAGAGAGTGTTGGAATAGCTGTCAAATTTTGTCTTTTTTTAAAACGTCCACAAACTCCGAAAGACTCTAAATCAAAGATTTATTTCCATGTTTCACTGGCACTTACGTGAAATCATATATGTAGAAAGAAAAGTTGCTCGAAGTTGGTGTGTGTTCACCGCGCTGGGCAAAGGAAATGTATTTTTTTCCATTTGAAACATAGAAATAAATCAGCGAAACAACAACGGGGTTAGTTTTAGGAGCTATATCAGCAACGAAATCAAAGGTGCTGGAATTTTAGTTTTTAGATCATAATATTATAACTATTAGACTGAGTTAAAATTAGAAAGCTTGCGTCAAATTTTCTCGCAATCGAAGATACTTTCCAAGAAGAGGAATTAATGAATCTGGCCAATACTTAAAAAGCTCGGTACTTCCCTCGTGTTGAAATAATATATTTAGCGTTTCAGTTACATGAACATTTAAAGCATTTAAAATTGATGATCAAAGATTACCAAGAACAGTTTTACGCACTTATTTTTCAAACTGAAATGCGATATACGAAAATATATTTTTCAAAAGTAATTTCTTCTATTACAATTAAAATTATAAATATGAATATATCTCCAGTCTGCATACCCCAAAAAGGTTATAGGCATGGTTTTAACGGAGAACACATCCTCCTATTTGCCTATATTTGTCTATGAAATACCCAAAGAAAATTTGTAGCGTAACAAAGTGTTTTGTCGATGACATCAAATATGACCTCAAAGTGATCTCTAAGGAAGCACTCTATTACTATGATCAAAACAAGTCTTCATCTAACTTTCTTCCATACCACTCACATAATAAATAAAGTTTGTTTAGAAAAAGCATATCGCCCTGAACAGTGAAAGCTGACCTTAATTATACCTGTCCCTAAGATCTCAAATCCTACTGAATCTGAACGTCTCAGACCTACGAGTATAAGCGTCTTACCCGTGCTCTCAAAAATTTGATGAAAATGATACAGAGAAACAATATAAATACTTGAAGTAAAACAAAACCTCAAACAAATCTCAATCAAGACGATCATGCTAAGAAAACGAATGTCTGAATGTAGGAAATCAGTATACGATGCAGATGGCCTATTTATACACCCTTGCTCATTTGGTCAGACCAGCGACTGAGAGTTTCCGCGCCAGACGCCTCATGTCAAATTCCAGTAAGCCGTTTGGGCTGCAGCCCGGAAAATAGATATTCCAAAGTTATTTTCCGGGATAAGAGTAGGGATTAGTGATACATGAAATACAAAACATGCCTAAAGTGATCATAAGATATTTCCTCCTGTTGACGTGGTAGTAAGTAAGAAATGCATGAATGTTTGAGTATATTCTCAACAATTTGTTAAAATATCCCAGAAGTCGCATATTTTGACATAAAATACCTACATACAGCTTTAGGTGTGCAACAAAGTGAAATTCGTCATAGATTTAAAAGTTTTTCAGTTGACATTTAAAATATCACTGTAAAGGAATCTATAAATAAAAAGGGAAAACAATACTAAAATAGTTAGGAACGCTTGTGAAAATTTCGTGAAAAAATTTCGGTCTGGATACGCTCATGCCAGTAAATAAAGGAATACAGTAAACTCGCAACTATCCGGCTCGCTGCTATCCGGACCGCCTAGGACGCAGCGCCCCTAAACAATTTTTACGCAGCCGGCAAAAATAGAAGGCTTCTTTAAAAAGTAACACATAATATGTAGATTATTATTTAATATAATATACATTATTATGTACGTATTATGTAGCTATATATACATTTATGCATTTTCTCATACCTTAATAAGTACTTGTAAGTTCTGCGAATGTTTGGACATTGATTCATCTTATCCGGCTTTTTCGTTTACAGACTAGCTGTCCGCTACCTTAGACCGGATATAATTGAGTCTATTGTAACCTGTAACTATTTGTTAGCCTACGCTTCCACCCATCTCTAATGATTATTTCCATTCATTCAATAATTAACCGCTTTTGCCATCTACTGGCAGCAGTTAGAATCGGTAAGAGATCCTAAGATGTTTACTTCACCATTATCTGTCAGCGGCTTTGAACGCAGCGCTCAGTTAAATGTAGCGCTACGAGATGGCGGCACAAATTTAACGAGCAGAACTACACGTTAAATAACGTGAATTAGCGGATAAATTGCATCCATATTATTCGCAAGAATAGTTATAACAAATATTTCTATTAGGAAGAACAAGATTTATGATGTTGCGAGGAACTTATATTTCACTCAAATGGT